TGGGGGGTAGGGGGTGGGGGCATTGTCAGATTTATTATTAATCAGCGAGGCGAGAAGGGCATGGTCAGATTTATTCATCAGTGGGGTGAGAGGGGCATGGTCAGATTTATTTATCAGCGGGGTGAGAGGGGCATGGTCAGATTTATTCATCAGTGGGGTGAGAAGGGCATGATCAGATTTATTTATCAGTGGGGTGAGAAGGGCATGATCAGATTTATTCATCAGCGGGGTGAGAAGGGCATGGCCAGATTTATTCATCAGCGGGGTGAGAAGGGCATGATCAGATTTATTCATCAGCGGGGTGAGGGGCAAGTAGTCATTGCTATTAAAAATATAGGGGGGATAACTTTATCAAAGGTAACAGGTGTTATATTTTATGTAGTGTAAAACTTTGAAATATGTTGTTACCTACAGTGTTCTAAGAAGTGTGGATTTGGTAGTAAGACTCGAACCGTGAGCTGTGTTAATTTGGATAGTGAGGAGGTAGAAGACTGGAACTGTGGAGGAGAGAAACGACCCAAACCCAAACGTAGATGTAACGAGTTCCCCTGTCCCTTTATCTGGAATACCTCGCCATGGACTGAGGTAATCAATACAAATAACAAATCTAATAAATCAGGCAGGAAATGGTTTTTTTTTTTGTAAATGTCACCAAATTTGTAAATTTTTAACGTTTGTGAGATGATCTTACCATTTGTTATATATTACATTTGCCGTTATATGGTCAGTAAAGTTGTTATATTGACCCCTATGATGTAGATTGAGCTGAAAAGCTAACAAATACCTTGTGTGTTACAGTGTAACAGTACGTGTGGTGAGGGTCTACAGGAGAGAAAGGTGGTATGTCAGGCCGTAACTAAGGAGGGCTGGATACTCCCAGGAGAAGTGCCATTTACCTGTCAGTCCACAGAAAAACCTCCAGCCCAAAGGTCCTGTAACATGGGCGAGTGTGGGGCGCGTAACCACTGGGTAGTCGGGCCCTGGGGCAAGGTAGGCATTCTCCAAATACCGCACGAATCTATATAATCAAGTTCATCCCAAAATATTTTATGGTTCTTAATTTATATTACAAGTCAAGAATATATGATTTTGATTGGAGGTGATAGTTGCACTATTATACCTTTGTAAATGAAGAGACGATACTTTTGTTGACAGTGTTCGTCACGCTGTGGATGGGGATTAATACGCAGGCAGGTGATTTGTGTGGATGTCCTTGGGAGGAGGCGGTCCAAGAAACGCTGTCCCAGCACCCTGAAGCCAGACAACAAGGAGGAATGCTACTCCGGACCATGTAAGTCTGCCACATTTATAAAGGTATTCGGTAACAGGTACAACTGATACATGCTGGTACACTATCTGAAGATTGACATCATAATTAAAAATTAATTATATGGTTAAAGATATCTTCATTAACGTTATTATGGTTTTTACATATATGAATGAGGGTTCTGTACGGATCATTTCCACTTTTCCTGTTGTATTATTTTTTTACATCAATTTTATAATATATGTAGTAAGAGTTAGCTCCCTTCGTCTATGACTTGTTGATATTATATGTATATGTCTGTGTCCTTGTAGGTTATGCTAAGTCCTGTCAGCAGTTGAGAGAGAAAACGTCAATACGACATGATGACACATACAGCTTACTTCTTAAAAATAGGCTCATACAGGTAAATACATTTTATTTCTCAAAAATAGTCTCATGCAGGTAAATACAGTTTACTTCTCAAAAATAGGCTCACGGCATACAGGTAAATACAGTTTACTTCTCAAAAATAGGCTCATACAGGTAAATACAGTTTACTTTTAAAAAATAGGCTCATACAGGTAAATACATTTTATTTCTCAAAAATAGGCTCATACAGGTTAACATGTCTTTGTTATCACCTTTAGTATTCAATCTTCATACAGGTAAATACAGTTTACTTCTCAAAAATAGGCTCATACAGGTAAATACAGTTTACTTTTAAAAAATAGGCTCATACAGGTTAATACATTTTATTTCTCAAAAATAGGCTCATACAGGAAAACATGTATTTGTTATCACCTTTAGTATTCAATCTTCATACAGGTATAGAGGTATATACTGTTGCTAGTTCTTTATGTTTAATGCCACCATTCAGTTATGAAATAGTACTTCACTTTTACAGGTAAAAATCTTTGATAAAAACAAGTACTCAATTTTATTTGATTAAAGACTTTATTTACAAGTGTACTTGACCTATATTTGGTAAATAGTTTTATTAAAGAATGATGCTGGTTTTGTTGTAGGTAAATAGAGTAGTTATAAACTGAGTATGACTTGCAGAAATAAATATTGTTAACTGATGTTGGCTTATTCCGTCTTTTCGTATTGCAGAGTTATCTTCTCTTGTGAACAGGTATTGATTGTTACGTCATTGGTTTGTGAGAGTAACGTCATCAATTTTTGAGAAAACAACGTAATTTTTTCACAAAAACAGAAATACGATATAAGGATGTCGTTGATTAGTAAGCTTTGTTACAGGTGTACTGTCGGGATATGAGGCAGAAAGAGCCTGCAGAGTATCTCAGCCTGCCGGTTGGGGAGGGGGAAAATTACTCTGAGGTCTACGACAAACGGTAAGCCTATAACTACAACACCTATTACGTTAACAAATTTATATATATAATTTTTTTTTATCAATTACTCTGCTACACACCTCAAAGATATTACCTGCTACTGTCAAAACTACATACCTCATAGATACTGTACCAAGAACTTTTGGAATTACACACTTCAAAGTCCCTCTCAATGACTGTCGGAGCATTTTAACCATTTTGTTTGTGTTTGTATACAGATTGCGTCGTTCTGGCCACTGTCCATACAATGGAACACGAACGGATACCTGCACCAAGTGTCGTCGGACTCCATACAGAGAGGCAGGGAACACATCCTTCTCCAAGGTCCGGATCGACCTCACAAACCTTCGCATTATGAGTAAGCAAAGCCAATCAAAAGCATTCTCATATTTTACCCTCTGTTTCTCACTTTCATATGTGTATACAATTTTCATATTTTATTTGGGTCAATTAAGGCAACATTTCAAAACGAAGTTTCGAGGGAACAAATATATTGGTTTGTTAATAAATAGAGCTACAACTCTTTCTTGTCCTATCAGAGACAACAAACAGGTATTTTGACTTGATATATGATAATGATTAGTAACCAAAGCTTGTGATACCATTATCAGTCAATGCATTTTGTAAACAGCATTGACCCATATTTGGTTTAAAATAAAATCAGTAAATAGGAAATACATGTTACAAGTATCAACAGAAACAGGAAGAAAATTGATGAGTGTTTATGATCGAGGTTGCTGATTTGATTTTTTTTCGGTTGACAGCTACAGACACAACATTCGCCACTTCTGTTAGTGGTAAAATCATTCCATATGGCACTGCTGGTGACTGTTACAGTTCACAGACACAATGTCCTCAGGTACGTCTCCTGTATACTACAATGTCCTCAGGTATGTCTCCTGTATACTACAATGTCCTTAGGTACATCTCCTGTATACTACAATGTCCTCAGGTACGTCTCCTGTATACTACAATGTCCTCAGGTATGTCTCCTGTATACTATACAATGTCCTCAGGTATGTCTCCTGTATACCTACAATGTCCTCAGGTATGTCTCCTGTATACTCCAATGTCCTCAGGTACGTCTCCTGTATACTACAATATCCGCAGGTACGTCTCCTGTATACTACAATGTCCTCAAATACGTCACCTGTATACTACAATGTCCTCAGATATGTCTCCTGTATACTACAATGTCCCCAGGTACTTCTCCTGTATACTACAATGTCCTCAAATACGTCTCCTGTATACTACAATGTCCTCAGATATGTCTCCTGTATACTACAATGTCCTCATGTATGTCTTCTGTATACTACAATGTCCTCAGGTACGTCTCCTGTATACTACAATGACCTCAGGTACGTCTCCTGTATACTACAATGTCCTCTGGTATGTCTCCTGTATACTACAATGTCCTCAGATATGTCTCCTGTATCACACAATGTCCTCAGGTACGTCTCCTGTATACTACAATGTCCCCAGGTACGTCTCCTGTATACTACAATGTCCTCAGGTATGTCTCCTGTATACTACAATGTCCTCAGGTATGTCTCCTGTATACTACAATGTCCTCAGGTATGTCTCCTGTATACTACAATGTCCTCAGGTACGTCTCCTGTATACTAAAATGTCCACAGGTACGTCTCCTGTATACTTCAATGTCCTCAGGTATGTCTCCTGTATACTACAATGTCCTCAGGTACGTCTCCTATCATACAATATCCCCAGGTACGTCTCCTGTATACTAAAATGTCCTCAGGTACGTCTCCTGTATACTAAAATGTCCCCAGGTACGTCTCCTGTACACTACAATGTCCCCAGGTACTTCTCCTGTATCACACAATGTCCTCAGGTACGTCTCCTGTATGCTAAAATGTCCACAGGTACGTCTCCTTTATACTTCAATGTCCTCAGGTATGTCCCCTGTATACTACAATGTCCTCAGATATGTCTCCTGTATACTACAATGTCCCCAGGAACATCTCCTGTATACTACAATGTCCCCAGGTACATCTCCTGTATACTACAATGTCCCCCGGTACGTATCCTGTATACTACAATGTCCTCATGTATGTCTTCTGTATACTACAATGTCCTCAGGACCGTCTCCTGTATACTAAAATGTCCTCAGGTACGTCTCCTGTATACCTCCTGTATACTACAATGTCCCCAGGGACGTCTCCTGTATACTACAATGTCCTCAGGTATGTCTCCTGTATAATGCAATGTCCTCAGGTATGTCTCCTGTATCATACAATGTCCTCAGGTATGTCTCCTGTATACTACAATGTCCCCAGGTACTTCTCCTGTATGCTACAATGTCCCCAGGTATGTCTCCTGTATACTACAATGTCCCCAGGTATGTCACCTGTATCATACAATGTCCCCAGGTATGTCTCCTGTATACTACAATGTCCTCAGGTATGTCTCCTGTATACTACAATGTCCTCAGTAAAATTATGGATAAACTTTTCTTTTTTTTTTTAAATAGAACAAAAAATACATGTATTTGGGAAAAGGACTACCTAAATATAGTGTTAGTAGTCCCATTATTATATACAAGTTACGATATATTATACATATACAAAAATGTATAATAAATATCTTAACTGTTAAAAATGAAAACATTTTATTGCTGTTAATTGTTGTATTCCATCAAAAAGATTTTTTTTTCAATTTTAGGAAAAAATGCAACTGTTATTAACCAATCAAAATGATAACAATCTGAAAAAAAGGTAGAAAAATAGCTCTGTCAGTGACAATGTAATCTGATTATCTGTTTTGGTCAGTTAAGTTATACTTACCTTTTCATTAAACATATACTTGAGAAACCTTCAACTTAGTCATGACTTGTCATTACAGGGAAGGTTCAGCATCAACTTGACGGGGACAGGATTTGCCGTCTCCAGAAACACAACCTGGATACTGCATGGCCGTCATTCCTCAAAAAAGATTCAAATCATGCAGGCAAGTTACCTATTCCAGATATTTATTTAGAGAAGTATAGTTTTACAAAGTTGTTTATTTCGGTCTTTATTTTGTAAAATGAAATATTTGTAGTGATTTGGATATGAAACATGAAATAATTTGTGATTATACACTTCAAATAATAATATCAAGCATTTGCTCATTTAATTGTGGCAACTGTCGAAAACTTCTTCATTTTGTGGTCAGAGAGCATCCTATCTTTCCTCATTCCTTACAACCTATTTGTGACACATGTTTAGTATCCATTACCCACACCAGTTTGATTTTGAACCAAATTTTAAAATCAGCATAGCTAATAGCAGCCCCATCTTGGATATTCTTGAAAGTCATACAGTTTCCTGGCAATTACCCATGAAGGAATACTTTGATTTCTATAAATCTTTCTACACATTTCTTATATACATATTATATACATTATAAATCTTTCTACACACTTCTTATATGCATGTTATATAAAATATAAATCTTTTTTTCACATTTCTTATATACATGTTAAATATATCATAAATCTTTCTACACATTTCTTATATGCATTTTATATCAATTAAATATCTTTCTACACATTTCTTATATACATGTTATATAAATTATAAATCTTTCTACACACTTCTTATATACATGATATACAAATTATTAATCTTTCTACACATTTCTTAAATACATGTTATATAAATCATAAATCCCTCTACACATTTCTTATATGCATGTTATATACATTATAAATCTTTCTACTCGTTTCTTATATACATGTTATATAAATTATAAATCTTTCTACACATTTCTTGTATACATGTTATATACATTATAAATCTTTCTACTCATTTCTTATATACATGTTATATACATTATTAATCTTTCTACACATTTCTTATATACATGTTATATAAATCATAAATCTTTCTACACATTTCTTATATGCATGTTATATAAATTATAAATCTTTCTACACATTTCTTATATACATGTTATATAAATTATAAATCTTTCTACACATTTCTTATATACATGTTATATAAATTATAAATCTTTCTACACATTTCTTATATGCATGTTATATACATTATTAATGTTTCTACACATTTCTTATATACATGTTATATAAATTATAAATCTTTCAACACATTTCTGATATACATGTTATATAAATTATAAATCTTGCTACACATTTCGTATATACATGTTATATACATTATAAATCTTTCTACACATTTCTTATATGCATGTTATATACATTATAAATCTTTCTACACATTTCTTATATACATGTTATATAAATTATTAATCTTTTTACTCATTTCTTATATACATGATATACAAATTATTAATCTTTCTATACATTTCTTATATACATGTTATATAAATTATTAATCTTTCTACACATTTCTTATATCTTTCTACACATTTCTTATATACATGTTATATAAATTATAAATCTTTCTACGCATTTCTTATATACATGTTATATAAATTACCTGTTTACTTCTGTGTTTATTTTGTTTTTTGTTTTTGTTTGTTGTCTGCCTGAAGGCCTACATGTATGTCAGGTTGTTTCATATTAAGGTTACTTGCCATAATTTATTTGCACACTGCATGAAAAGCTCTCATCACTTTTGAAAACAATCATTAAGTGGATTTTGTTGATGTTAATTTCATATTTGTTATAACACCAGCAATGATGCGTTTTGTTGTAGAACGGAGAGGTGGTTCGCGGTCTGTGTGGAGGCTACTGTGCCGTCTGCTCTCCAGACCTGTTCACCGGTTTACAGCTAGAGGTTCTCCACTGACACCTGTGATAATGGTACGTCACACTTACATTGTGTACAACTAACAAGCGTTATTTCACAGCCTCACATGCTTACTATATTGAATAGGGAATCGTATTGAATGTAACTCAGATTGTAGTTTTCAGACAAATGACCAAGCTGTCTTTTAAATTCATGTATGGAATATAGGATACTGAAACCTGTTTAATATTTTATTCGTTAATTTCAGCAATTTAAAGTGAACATGTCAATCATTCATTACTTACCTGGTAACTGTATTTATTGTCCAACTTTTTGCAAATTCATTTGTGTTTTCTCCATTGAGAATATGAGTCACGTTTTAAAACATTATTTTGTTCTTTTTAGATTGCCATGGACAACATTTATGGTGATCACTGCCTCCTGATCAAACTTCAAATCATCCCATAATTTCATTTTACAAAGTTTCATATTCATCATCGTTTACTTTATAATTTGTGTGTGTGTTGTATGTATATATGTGGACCATGTGTATTTATTTGCGATATATTGAACGTTTCCGTCCGTGTACATAGGAGATGTAATTGTGCAATAACGGGTGTAAATCTGATGGTGAGAGCGAGGTCAAAGTACTGAGTGCTGTAAGTTTTGTTCATTTCATTATAAATAATTTGCATTTCTATTTTATGCCTATTGATATTATTTTTATTATGTATTGTTGAATTATCTCAATTTTTACTTATATGTCCAGGTTACAACCTACAATATATACTTATCCAGTCTGGTATAAAGACTGTCGACAAAGTCAAGATTGTGCGAAAAAATCCTCAACAAAATTTATATAAAGTCTTGTTTATCAGTAGATACATGTACACATTGTATATGCACAGAATGCATATTCTTGAAACCATCTTTATATATACCAATCAAAGGCAGTACTCTACAGTGTCAGCTACTGCAGTAATACTGTTGCAGGCTTAATCCAATGGATCTCTACCCAAAGTTAAATACATTTTTCAAATTTGGGCTTTTAGCATTTCTAATGCAAATAACTGATGTAAAAATATTTGTAGATAAAGAATTCAAACAATTGATATCACCAATAAAAGTGATATGTTTATCCAAGGAAATGATACCTTTTTCATATCATGAGTCTAATATAGAAAACTTAGATATAAATCGACTAATTTAAACTACAATGGGACAGCATTGTCTATGTTATATCGGTGTAGACAGAGCACCTGTAGGTACCAGCATTGTCTATGTTATCTAGGTGTAGAAGGAGCACCTGTAGGTACCAACATTGTCTATGTTATATTGGTGTAGACAGAGCACCTGTAGGTACCAGCATTGTCTATGTTGTCTATGTGTAGAAAGAGCACCTGTAGGTTCCAGCATTGTCTATGTTATATTGGTGTAGACAGAGCACCTGTAGGTACCAGCATTGTCTATGTTGTCTAGGTGTATAAGGAGCACCTGTAGGTACCAGCATTGTCTACGTTATATCGGTGTAGACAGAGCACCTGTAGGTTCCAGCATTGTCTATGTTATATCGGTGTAGACAGAGAACCTGTAAGTTCCAGCATTGTCTATGTTATCTAGGTGTAGAAGGAGCACCTGTAGGTACCAAAATTGTCTATGTTATATTGGTGTAGACAGAGCCCCTGTAGGTACCAGCATTGTCTATGTTGTCTAGGTGTAGAAGGAGCACCTGTAGGTACCTGCATTGTCTATGTTGTCTAGGTGTAGAAGGACCACCTGTAGGTACCAGCATTGTCTATGTTATATCCGTGTAGACAGAGCACCTGTAGGTACCTGCATTTTCTTCGTTGTCTAGGTGTAGACAGAGCACCTGTAGGTACCTGCATTGGCTTTGTTGTCTAGGTGTAGAAGGAGCACCTGAAGGTACCAGCATTGTCTATGTTATATCGGTGTATACAGAGCAACTGTAGGTACCAGAATTGTCTATGTTGTCTATGTGTAGAAAGAGCCCCTGTAGGTTCCAGCATTGTCTATGTTATATCGGTGTAGACATATCACCTGTAAGCACCAGCATTGTCTATGTTATCTAGGTGTAGAAAGCGCACCTGTAGGCACCAGCATTGTCTATGTTATATCGGTGTAGACATATCACCTGTAAGCACCAGCATTGTCTATGTTATCTAGGTGTAGACGGAGCATCTGTATGTACCAGCATTGTCTATGTTATCTAGGTGTAGAAAGCGCACCTGTAGGTACCAGCATTGTCTATGTTACATCGGTGTAGACAGAGCACCTGTAAGTTCCAGCATTGTCTATGTTATCTAGGTGTAGAAAGCGCACCTGTAGGTACCAGCATTGTCGATGTTATATCGGTGTAGACAGAGCACCTGTAGGATTGTCTATGTTGTCTATGTGTAGAAAGAGCCCCTGTAGGTTCCAGCATTGTCTATGTTATATCGGTGTAGACAGAGCTCCTGTAGGTACCTGCATTGTCTATGTTGTCTAGGTGTAGAAGGAGCTCCTGTAGGTACCAGCATTGTCTATGTTGTCTAGGTGTAGAAGGAGCTCCTGTAGGTACCAGCATTGTCTATGTTGTCTAGGTTTAGAAGGAGCACCTGTAGGTACCAGCATTGTCTACGTTATATCGGTGTAGACAGAGCACCTGTAGGTACCGGCATTGTCTATGTTGTCTAGGTGTAGAAGGAGCCCCTGTAGGTAACAGCATTGTCTATGTTATATCGGTGTAGACATATCACCTGTAAGCACCAGCATTGTCTATGTTATCTAGGTGTAGAAAGCGCACCTGTAGGTACCAGCATTGTCGATGTTATATCGGTGTAGACAGAGCACCTGTAAGTTCCAGCATTGTCTATGTTATCTAGGTGTAGAAAGCGCACCTGTAGGTACCAGCATTGTCGATGTTATATCGGTGTAGACAGAGCACCTGTAGGTGCCTGCATTGTCTATGTTGTCTAGGTGTAGAAGGAGCTCCTGTAGGTACCAGCATTGTCTATGTTATATCCGTGTAGACAGAGCACCTGTAGGTACCTGCATTTTCTTCGTTGTCTAGGTGTAGACAGAGCACCTGTAGGTACCTGCACTGTCTATGTTGTCTAGGTGTAGAAGGAGCACCTGTAGGTTCCAGCATTGTCTATGTTATATCGGTGTAGACAGCGCACCTGTAGGTACCTGCATTGTCTTTGTTGTCTAGGGGTAGACAGAGCACCTGTAGGTACCTGCATTGTCTATGTTATATCGGTGTATAAGGAGCACCTGTAGGTACCAGCATTGTCTACGTTATATCGGTGTAGACAGAGCACCTGTAGGTTCCAGCATTGTCTATGTTATCTAGGTGTAGAAAGCGCACCTGTAGGCACCAGCATTGTCTATGTTATATCGGTGTAGACAGAGCACCTGTAAGTTCCAGCATTGTCTATGTTATCTAGGTGTAGACGGAGCATCTGTAGGTACCAGCATTGTCTATGTTATCTAGGTGTAGACGGAGCATCTGTATGTACCAGCATTGTCTATGTTATATCGGTGTAGACAGAGCTCCTGTAGGTACCAGCATTATCTATGTTATATCGGTGTAGACAGAGCTCCTGTAGGTACCAGCATTATCTATGTTATATCGGTGTAGACAGAGCATCTGTAGGTACCAGCATTGTCTATGTTATATCGGTGTAGACAGAGCATCTGTAGGTACCAGCATTGTCTATGTTATATCGGTGCAGACGGAGCACCTGTAGGTACCAGCATTGTCTATGTTATCTAGGTGTAGAAAGAGCACCTGTAGGTACCGTCAGTTCTACTGCTTATTTAACTGTTTATAAGTATGTGACCAAGGGTAATTAAATGATGAAGTATGTCTACAAACCTTTACTACTGTTGTACATTATAGGCCAGTACATATATGTATATATATATATATTTATAACATTTTAGACATGTACACTAGCAATTTATACCTANTTTTTTTTTTTTTTTTTTTTTTTTTTTTTTTTTTTAAAGTTTTAACTTCTGTGAACGTGACCAAAAACTAGAACATTATTCATTTTCACTTTTGGGTATTCAGTAATAACATATTTTAGTTAATTCTTATGCATTATTTGTCTCCATCTCGTATATGTAGATATTATTTATATTATGTCTTCCAGTGCAGGTAGAGAGGGACACAGAGTTGTCTGTCCTTCAGGTAGAGAGGGATACAGAGTTGTATGCCCTTACCTATTGAAGGAGCATTTCACTCAACACTGTATAATTAAAATTTCTTATTTTTTGTACATATAATTTATGTATATTTATGTTTAAGCTATATTGATTGGTAAAATACCATATGATGTACATAGTGTTTTTTCTTCATACTTTTATGCATATCAACACAGCCTGTAGCTAACGTTAATATCAATTTTGTGTAAGCCAAATGTTGACTTGCGTCGCATGTAAAATACTCAAATGTGCTAAGGAAATGTGTTACGTATGTGTTAATGCACCTCATCATGTAAAACACCAAAAATAGGTTTGAAGCTGTTTCAGCATTCATATTCACAGTTGTTCTGATTTTGTTTGATTGTGTATTTTAATTATAACAGCGTTAGCAGCATTGTTGTTTTACCAATTCTACCATCTAATTGTTAGCATTAGTTCTAATAGTTAGCATTAGTTCTAATTGTTAGCGTTACTTCTGTTTTATTCCCGTTCTTTGGTCAGTTATTTTAACATCACTGTTTGCATTTCTGTTGTTTTATCGATTGTGAGTAAATTATTTTACCATTATATGGTGGGTTATGTCCCTTGCTAACTTACAATAGGCATTTAACTCTATGGCCAGGTCACTATATTCAAGCTTTTTATCTCAGGATATTTTTTGTTGATCACATGATTTTTTTAATATTCATTTGCCAGTAATTTTATTTCTTAAGCGTTTATTCTTGTTAAGGTCAGATTGTGTTAATAGAATTTTATGTAGTTGATAAACCATTTTTTATGATTTTTTTTCTAACCAAGACAATTTTTGTATGAAGTTGTTGGTCCCCAAATAAATATTTTACCAAATTGATTTTAGAGGTAGTGAAAACTCGTTCAAACATGTTCATTGGCATGTGTATCTGAGTTAGATCGGGAATTGAGGAAAGGTTCTCTTATACTGTTAAATGTTTTTTTCATGTTCACATAACACTGCACATTTATTACTTAGGGGTAGAGTTTCACTGTATGTGGTATCTATGTTAATATTTTACAGGGATATTTAATCATTTTATCACCGTTACAGCTGATCAAACCATTTACATGTTTATTTATCAAAGCAAGAACACTGTTTGATTGGTTATCTGATATAATTAAAGAACTCTCAAAGTTAAATATTGATAAAATATCATATTTCTGTTGTTCCATGTTTTAATTGGGGAAAACAATTAGTTTTGATGGTTTTGTTCAATTTCCAAACGTGACTTTAGTATCTACATTTGACCATGTAAGTACATATTAGTAGCAATTGGCATTTGTTGATATCAGTTAGTCTTTGTTTGCTTCTAAAAGTAACACATTTCAGCATAAACATTAGAGTTTTGTCCAGTATTCATTCAAAATAGTTGTCTACATTTACTAAATGAAAGGATCTTTTTTTACTCTTCAACCAACACATGTGTACTTTAAATGTGATCACGATTTACAACGATCATAAAGAAACTGCCCACAAACAGGTGTATGTAACCTTACTGAAACCGACCACAAACAGGTGTATTCATACAAACCTTACTGAAACAAAACTCAGTAACAATCTATCAATAATGCAGTGTTTCAGTACAGTTAAATTTGATTTGTTAATTGAAAATGGACATAAATGATGATGCACAGAAAAAATGTTGACAAATTTGAAAACATGGTTTAAAAGGGTAAGTACAAAAGATCCTAACAGGGTATGTTTTTAGAACTCTGGTTCAAGCATTTAAATCTAGGAAACTGAAGTAATATCAATTGTTCTGTTTGCCCCCAGCTTACAGTATTCAGTGTAGCTGTCATGCATAGCACATGTTTTGTACAGCAACCATCACGCACAATAACTGAACACATGTGACGGGGGTACCAGAAGGGGGAATCGGATGCTATGGTACCAGTTATGCATTTATAGAAATATGCAATACTTCATTTTTATCGATTTTATATTTTTAACTTTAAGATATTTTAAAACTTTGAATATATATATATTAGAAATCACTCCTCTCCCTTTTTGTCACAATCTCATTTCTTTCTTCCCGACACCCTCAGGCTGTTTGGTCCGATACCCCTAGGTACCCCGCTCACGGTCTGGAAGCTACATGTGTCTGGTTCAAGGATCTCACTGACATAAATGGTCATATGAATTATTAACGTGAATCTGATTAATATTTAATATTATGTTATGCATAAACTCATTATGCAATAACTGGCTAAGACTTTTTAAAATATATTTTCTCTTATGAAAACTTATGAGTTTCAGTCTTGTTTGTTTACATACCCTTAAAACGTTCACTTCAACAATTGGTGATGCAGTGTATTTTTTTTTTAGCTCATAGAGAGATATTGCAATACCTTGCCGTCCGTTGTCGGTTGTTGGTTGTCCATCCGCAAATTTTCTTTGAAATACTTCTAAAGAACCAAAAGGCTAATAAGAAGCTAGTTTAGTAGGAAGTATATCCCTATGGTCCACTAGTGGGTACTTCACAATACATTGTGCAATATTTGAATGTTCAAATACTCTTAAGTCTCTTAAAATAGAGAACAGAAAGGCCAAGAATCATGTCACTTGAGTAGTAGGTTCATGATGATATTTAGGAACTAAAACTTCTTAAAATCAATGATGATCTTGTACAAAGTCAACAAGGAGATGAATATACTATCAGTGATATCCCACAACAAAAGTCCGTCGATTCTAACATACCGCCGTACTTCCGGTAGGAAAATAGTCCGTCGATTCTCACATACCGCCGTACTTCCGGTAGGAAAAAGTCCGTCGATTCTAACATACCGCCGTACTTCCGGTAGGAAAATAGTCCGTCGATTCTAACATACCACCGTACTTTCGGTAGGAAAATAGTCCGTCGATTCTAACATGCCGCCGTACTTCGGTAGGAAAATAGTCCGTCGATTCTAACATACCGCCGTACTTCCGGTAGGAAAATAGTCCGTCGATTCTAACATACCGCCGTACTTCCGGTAGGAAAATAGTCCGTCGATTCTAACATACCGCCGTACTTCCGGTAGGAAAATAGTCCGTCGATTCTAACATACCGCCGTACTTCCGGTAGGAAAATAGTCCGTCGATTCTAACATACCGCCGCACTTCCGGTAGGAAAATAGTCCGTCGATTCTAACATACCGCCGTACTTCGGTAGGAAAATAGTCCGTCGATTCTAACATACCGCCGTACTTCCGGTAGGAAAATAGTCCGTCGATTCTAACATACCGCCGCACTTCCGGTAGGAAAATAGTCCGTCCATTTTAACATACTGCCGTACTTTCGGTAGGAAAATAGTCCGTCGATTCTAACATACCGCCGTACTTTCGGTAGGAAAATAGTCCGTCGATTCTAACATACCGCCGCACTTCCGGTAGGAAAATAGTCCGTCGATTCTAACATACCGCCGCACTTCCGGTAGGAAAATAGTCCGTCCATTTTAACATACTGCCGTACTTTCGGTAGGAAAATAGTCCGTCGATTCTAACATACCGCCGTACTTCCGCTAGGAAAAAATTCCGTCGATTCTAACATACCGCTGTACTTCCGGTAGGAAAATACGATCATTCTTAGTTATGCTAAAACCATTGCGTCCAAGCTTTTTAACTACAAGCAAACGTTAAAACAACGAAGTTAGATGACCAAAAAATAAATGCTCCCTTTATAACTATGGACCGGCTGGACGCCTAGTTACTATCCATTACCCACATTGTCAAACACGAGAGGTTTTTATGTAGGGTGCAGAGTAAAGAGAAAATCCGGATATCAGTCTTAATGCGACTTTCAAGGTACTTGTGGACTTTGAGGAAGACTGCGCCAAACAATAGGCAACACGAGAGTATGATGAGTTGGATTCACTTTCAGAGCGTGTTAAATCACGGAATAATCTAAGTCAGTGGTCAAATCTGTCCTAAAATGAAAACAAAACACACGTTTATATATATCCTACCAGAAGATTTGAGTCCCCGTATTGCAAAAAGGACAATAACGACAAGCAACAAAAGTATTAGTTCGGTGGTGAACTACGTTGTACAAGAGAATATCGATCTGTCAACAAAACCGATCTTCGAAATCCGAACTTGGAGTCGATGAAACTATTAACAAAAAAGAATTATATGAATACCCCTGGAAAAGTACACAGGGAATAAGTTCATGTGTTCTTGAAGTAAAACGCCTTCTGCTTCATATTAATTTTGAGAACGTTACATTGCATGTATGTTTAATATGAAGCAGTTTGTTTATGTTAAGCAAAATTAAACCAATTCTTCATATTAAACATACATGCAATGTAATGTCCATATATCGAGAACCGGGGAAGTGACAACAAAACAACAAGGCACTGTAACGAGATAATCAAATACATTGACCTCCATATCACACAACAAAATGGAAAGTTTCCAATGAGATCAGGATGGCGACCATATAATTTGTCTTCCTCATCCTAGACCACATGTCCGTCGATGCTACCACAAGTACTACTTTTAGAGAAAGTACCCCAATCATTTCTGTCAGTTACCATAAGCCCATTGCTTCGAATCTTTTCAACTGCATACAGACACTATAACAAGCCTTAGACTAACTCCTTTTCCAGCCTGTTCTACCTCTATACAACTACTGTCGGGTTGGACAGAAGTAACGGGCGATCTGAATATCATCCTTAATGTAACGTCACGACAGCTTTTCACACAGTCCAGAAGTATCGAGGGACTCTTACTATGAGTTAGAATGTGATTTCAATATACTGGTGGATTCTGTGGGAGACTACACCAGATAACGACTAAAGAAGATCAGTTTGAATATGATTCACTTCAGAGTGGGTTTGATTTGTCAGGTCCATCATTCAATGAAGAAGTAGCATCTTTAAATCCAAAATGAACTAAACCCACAAGTCTGTTTATCTTGACCAATATGTGCCGACTGTTTATCTTGACCAAGATGTGCCGACTGGTTATCTTGACCAAGATGTGCCGACTGGTTATCTTGACCAAGATGTGTCGACTGTTTATCTTGACTAAGATGTGCCGACTGGTTATCTTGACCAAGATGTGCCGACTGGTTATCTTGACCAAGATGTGCCTACTGTTTATCTTGACCAAGATGTGCCGACCACACTCAACGATTGCATATTAAGTATGCAGTTGTGTCGGCATTCAGCACATCTAATAATATGATGCTAATCCCTCAAACTCTCTACATTTCCTACTTGAAAAGATAACTACGGTTGATTGATAAACAATTTCTATTTGCATGGTCATGGCAGCTAATGCTTCTGTATGACCCTCTTTCGGGTGACTGAGTAATGATAAGGACGCGGACATGATTCGTTTCTAATGGACTCCGAAACTTGATAAGAATCCCTATAAATAATGTTATATCACTGGCTTCGTTAGTTGCCCAACCAAGTCATTATTCAAACTATTACCTTTCCTACTTGGTACCATCAAACCAGGGTCACCGTCGTATTGCGACAATTTACACTTCAGAAGGAGAATAAATGTAATGTAATGCAGGATAAGTCGAAGTTCTTGGAACCAAAAAAAGTATTCGACTTGTCCGCTGGTTCGACGCTACCGAAATGTATAGTGTAAGTCAAAATATCATTTCAAAAATATTTCTTCTATCAGAGCATCTGACGTTTCCACAATCTTGAGTAAAGCATTCGTTTTTTATTATTTCTTTTCATAGAAAGGCGAACGGCAATATGAAAACACGACTAAATCCACGAAGAAATATACCGAAAAATGATTAAGTTCCTGGTAGCCAAATGTCTTGTTGAGTTAGATGGTAAAATATTCCAGCAGACTGTAGGCTTTCCCTCGAGAACAAACTATGGCCTTCCCCTCGCCGATATTTTTGTTATATAAGGTTGAACTAGATGAGGAAAGTATAAGGACTAATGACTAGCTTTGCCATGCCCTTTAATTTAACTTTCAAAAAATAACAATGTGCTGTCTTTAAAAAACAAGAAGTGTACAGAATATACATATCCTCATAAGGACATAACATAAACCTCTTCATCGCCCGCTTACCTCGACTTTTACTTACAGCACATCTAAAAGGGAGGTCTCCTAGTGATCAGTTCGATAAGCGGGACGATTTTGATCGTAAACGTTCCTTTTCTTGATATTAACATCCCATTTTCCTAAACTTGCGGTGTTTATGAAAGATCTAAAACATAAAGGAATTGAACGTGTCGCAGCTCATTCTGTTAATCAAGTACGGATCTCTATCTCCCTGCTGTAAAAACCTTTGTATCAAGTTCAGCTTCCTTAGATCGACAAGAATTTTGGGCGATGTTAGTTCCATTGGAAGACCAATAATCTGTTGATGGATATTTTTCAACAGATCTAACAAGCATGATGTCGTTGAAGCATAATTATAACAGTTTTGACCATTATCACTGATAATGCTAGACTTAGTATCCACTTCTTGTCTAGATGCTCAATCTGTGTTTCGGACAGTCCCGATATCCTGCTACCTGACAAAGATTTCAGTGCTTCCAGGATCAAAGTCTTGTAACTTCGTGATAGGTTATTTGTGACCTACGTGAACTCATGAATTTTAAGACAGAAGACATGACGGGTGCCACGTGAGGTGCCGGACATCATGTTGGATCACATTGTTTCTCCTCACATTTTCCTGGACGTTCACGTCTTTCGCTTTCCAGTCTCTTCACTTCCAGGTGACCCTGCGTGTTGATCTTGATTTAAAGTATATCTTCCGTGTGATAACGTCATGATATCTATAACATATATCTACTGTATCTAAAACAATAACATGAATAACTCCTGAAATGTTTATCGAAGAAGACAGATGATGTATGTCAGTTTCTGATTGGTCGGCAAGGACTGTTGTGGTTTATTCGATAGCAATTCGTGTAAAGATGTGTTTAAAGACATTTGGCAAATTTTGCATGTGATATGACTCTGCTTAGAGCAGTCTCGGAGAGAATCTTGAGTAAAAGTCTGTATAGACATGTATGTGGAAGTTTCTCTGAGGGCGCCCGATAAATTTAAATAATGTAACTATAAGCACATTGTAACTACATGTAATTGATGGCAGACTTAAATGATAGTTGGTTTGTGTCAAAGAAAAAAGCAAGAATGTTTTTAAATATTTCTTTATTTCTTTATAAATATTGCATATATCTTTATGTAAATATATTATTCACTCATTCCCTTTCACAATATATTACATAGTATTAAGTATACAAACATATTTTGGCACCATGTTTTCACATGTACATTGCATGCATTTAAAAAACATTATTTGAGCATAGGACACATTTATTATTTAAACTACAAATATCAAAAAGGTTTCGAAACGCAAAAAGCCTTGAAGGGTCCCTGCCCCCTTGAATGCAAGCCACCGGAGAATTCCCCTATATTTTTGATACATACGATAGTCTCCTCTTTATTTTGTTTTTAAGGTAACTGTAGAGGGACTTAGACATTGAATATCCATTGATACGGTAACTCAGTTGGTTAGAGCGACAGTATATTAAACCAGGGTTTAATATCCAGGGTTTGAACCCTGGTCAAGCCACTTTCTTCTTTTCTTTTCACAATCAGAACACTGTCGTTGGTTAATTGTTTTGTTTATTTCACCTGAGTGTTTTCTGTGTAAGGAGTATACAAGCTATAGTCATGCAGAGGAAGTTTTAAATGTATACTATCAGTTTTGGCAGTGGTTTAGTTATCCTGAAATATTTGTCAGACGACACAGCAGCATTTGTCTCGGTGATCCAACGTACACAACGGGATATCGTGGAACACGGGACTACACCAACGTGTTTAGTGGGAGCTAGTATCAATATAGACTAATTCATTGGCTTGATCAATTAGGAACGACGAATAATTGTGAAGCTTGTCGCCGGTATGAAGTCAACATGTTTAAGTGACTTGAGTAAGAATAATACTTTATTAACCCTTTCCCCCTATGCAACTTTAGTAGACTCTACCATGCATTGATCTGGATGAGTCCAATATGGTCTACAGTGGTGAAAGGGTTAACTAAAGCATTTGAAACTTTGTAGTGAGGACAATAAAATGCAATCAGTACAGAATACCAAAATGTAAACAAAGCAGCAATTGTAATTTAAAATCGATAAAACTGGTGCAACAAAATACAAAGGTCAAAGCAATATCATGCATTAATGTAATTTTGTGGAACATATTATAACAATAATATCATATTCATTTGCGCGTTTTGCAGGTTTGAAGTATTGATCGATATGTTCACATAAAAAGTTGATTTTAAACACTCAGTTGTCTTCTGAAATTTGGCACAGTTATCTATGAAATGTAAACTTTATTTATTTTACAACAATTAGGAAACACGTTATCTGTAGGTGTATGATATCGTTCTAACTAACCCGACTTTCCTCTGGCCCTAACACCAAACGTAGACATTTTGACATACAGATGTCTGGTGTGGGTTAGGGTTAAAATGTCTAAGTCTGGTGTTAGGGCCAGAGGAAACTCGGGCGTCGTTCTAACCATACATATAACGATACATATTTTAACGTCGCAAAACACAACGACGACATTGTCTATTTTTATTTCTTGAAACAAAAATATTCCATTGATGGATCATGTTAATCTTTCAAGTTGTGGAACGTGCTGGCGGTCACCCATCCAACTACTGACCACGCTCGACTTTGCTGAGCTAGTGAGCGTTTCTCCGGGTTATAATGCATCACTGGTACAGCTAACTTGCCTGTAAGGCAGTATTTTCCCCTCATATTCCTTGGCTGTTACAGTTGGTACAAGTGGTCATTTTATTAAAGTATACCTATACCAGAGCGTCAATCACCACAAGGACAAACTTTGAGTTTAAAAGTCGATACAATTGATTAACAAGGGGTACTAAAACATCCCAAAAATGGAATACATCTCCAACTTCCACCTCTTATAAAGGTCATTAAGCTACTTAGTTCAAGAGATAAAGCACAACGGTTATATCGGTCAAATAATGAACATGTACTCATATAATAGAATGGTACCAAAATAGCTTGTAGGACAATTTGTGTTCTGTTAACACTGGTAGTTAATCGCTGCCGTTAACGTATATAACGTAAGACTTTACAGCTTAGTTCAGACCTGTTACACTTTCAACCATGTTGGTCTAAACTAAATCCAGACTTTTATAAGCATGGTATAGACCTGTTACGCTTAAACTGAGGTTGATCTGAACTGAAGATGAATGACGTACCCTGACTTCATGAGTATAGTACACATATATTACATTTTAGCGAGGTTAGTCTGAACTAATGGCGATTAATTTATCCAGACATGTATGTATACAGTTTGACTCCTTACACCTCGAGCAAGTGTAGTCTGGATTGAATATGTCTCTTATTTTATAGAGCACATACAAATGTTAACATGTATACTGTTACATGATCACGTGATAATCTTTATATGATGATAACCTCTCCATCGTCATCATCTAGGTAGGAGGGAGATAGTTGTCTTTGTTGTCTAGGATCATTGTTTTGTCCTATCGGATATTGTAAGGGGACATTACTCTGATGTGACATGTATGTTTGATTTGGTTCTTTGGCGGCACGTTGATACACTACGGGGGATTGTGTCACTGGTTTAATTGGAATTGGTCTTTGTTGTGGTGCTGTATTAACGGGAGAGTCTCTCGGGTATTGTGCTAAATTGCTCTCTGTGTAAATGTGAGGCACGCCATTCTGGTCGAATAATACTACGGGACTCGACTGAGGAGCATATCCTCCATTATGAACAATGTTTGTATTTTGTGGAACCGGATCCAGATACATGGCTGACTCACGATTGTGATGGTTTGCCAGGAGGTATAGTTGATTTGGACTGGTGCCTTGTCCAGGCATATGACTACTCTCCGGCTGACTTACGGGTTTGAATTGATGAGGTGACGTGCTTATGTGGTGGTCCTGTGGTAATGCATGCAGATACATAGCCTGCTGCTGTTCTACCGGAGGAGGCTGCAGTTGAGGACTTTGTAGATGTGTACTGGGATGATGTACAAACTGAAGATTGGAGAGCTGCTCAGGACTTATCCCAGGAAGAGTCTGAGGTCTATTCGCCCTAAACACCTCGGTACTGTTAATCGGTAGAGGTGCATGCTCAGGTGATTTGATTGGGTTACTAGTATCACGGCTTTGCGGCTGTAATGATCTTCTCTGCAATGTCGAATTCTGGGGGGAATTGGTGTTTGCTTCAAACGGTCCCGTCAACTCGGCTGTGTTTATCGACAGAGGTATATTTTCAGGCGGTTGCATTGGGTTATAAGCATTACGGTTTTGCGCCTGTAACAATCTCCTCTGCAACGTCGAATTCTGGAGCGGGTTTGCGTTTGCTTCAACCGCTCCTCTCAACTCCAAATAGCTTGGAGGAGGGGTAGCCAACACATCCTCGTCCACCAAAGCCAGTTCTTTGGCTGAGACATAGTTCAGATGCGTACGGTCTCCGAGACTCGAAGGACCGGAAGTATCCGACATTCCTGAACTGTTTTTCTCGGTAGCGCGACTTCCTCTAGACGGTACACTACTTGCATCTCCACCGGAACCTGAAGCTGATGATGACGCCGTTCTTGGGGCAGTTGGTTTTGTCAGATCAGGTAGACTTTGAACTACGTCCGAATATTCAACTGAGGAAGTTTTCTTGGTCGTAAGACTACTAGAATCACCACACGACCCATCCCTGAAGTCTCTTGAATTGAAATTATGCGTTTCGAAACCTTGATTTGAATTCCCGCGCGAGCTACCGATATCTTCATACATATTATCCAAACTTCGGCTGCTGGTTGTATGACGACTTTGCACTGAAAATATAAGCAAAAAGGGCTCAAAAGAATATAAATTACAGATGTATTTTAAAACATATTTGGTATTTTTCTTTAGGCAACGTTTTTTAATAATTACGAAACACTTCTTCTGCTTTGTTCATGTAAAGTCATTGCTGAAGGTTAAACAGCGTCTTATGTAGCGGCGTTATTATACATAAAACACTGCTACAATGTACGTGTACATCAGGGTGACTAGTTAGAATTAAATGAACCTGTTAATTATGAAACTGATTTGTAGTTTTGATTTATATGCAATAATATACTGTAGAGACTTACTAGACATTTTCTGGGAGGAAATCTGCTTGTTTGTAGTGTGTTGACGAAACAGTAGGACAATGAGGAGGAGAAGAACGACGAACATCAGGCCAATGACGACACCCATCACTATAATATCGGGCCCAGCGGAGTCGTCCGTAGGGGCAGACGTTTGAGTGACAGGCCTATCAGTGGCGGGGGCCATTGTCGTGTTGTTGGCGGGAGGGGCGAGCTGGCAGATATTACTACACAAGTCAGGTTTGCAGGTGGCCTTGACATCGAAGGCTTGCACGGGGTTACCAAATGAGTCGTAAAATTTGATTTGGTCCAGTTCTAAGTTAAGATGTCCTTCCTCGCTAAAGGTCCCAACCTAAAAAAGTCAAATAAAGACTCAGTTATGCTAATACAGATATCGCCGTTAAGCAACGTTAAAAAACAGTTTCAATATTGTAAGACGTCAAAACTAAATTTCATTTAAAAGCTGCTGCTTACCTTCTTGTAAACGTATTTATTATCCTGCTGATGTTGTATGTTAAATATAGAGAGACCCATAAAACCATTTCCATCATCCTTGAATAGTTTGAATGGAGTCCCTTCCACTTGTGTTAGTTTGACATTTTTGATGGCGTTCGTCAGCTGCTCTGCAAATGCTCTGTCAACAGTTTGCGTCATACATATGGTTGATTTATTGCAGCCTGTCCAAATAGCGTTAACGGCGTGGCTTATGTGCACCACGCGCTGGTAATCACTCAAGTGGGAAGCGTAGGTTTGATTTATTCTCGCGTTCATTGAACAGTCGTTTGAAACTCTGTTTGTAAATCTCTTGTCAATTGACCACGGGAAGTCACATTTCAAGAGATTTTCCCACAAATGCTCTACCCAGGGCAGCCCTGTATCGTTCTGAGGCGAAATGGACATGAGATACTTTTGTAAGTAGTTGTCTGTGTGGAAAGTCGTGTCTGTCTGGAAGACGAGCGATCCTCTGCTCTTTGGTCCGGTCTGTTGTGTGATCAGATCAGGATCTTTACCCCATGCCTCGCTGGCTATGAATATATACGAATCCTCGAAATCGTCCAACATTTCCTTTGCCACTGTAGAAATGCCATAAAATACTACGACATCGACTACGTTCTGTTGAAGTGTCTCCTCGATCTGTGGGTACTTCAGGTAATTACCAGTCACTTTTTGTTTGTTGATGATACATATCCCGTTATCGTTAGCCTTTTTCTCTACATCCAATATCCCATTATATCCGTAAGCGTCATCCAGATAAATTGCACCAACGAATGAAAAATCGAGATATGTCAGGACGTCAACGATTCCGTCCACTTGGAGTTTATCGCTCGGCACGGTCCGTAGGAAATATGGGTACATGCGTCTGTTATCTAGGAAGGAAGAAGAAGCTCCATAGGATACCATGGGTATATTGAGATGCGTCAAAAGATCGGCAACAACCAGGGTGACGTCACTCGACACAGCACCAACTGCAAATCGGACCTTCGACATGTCTATGATTTGTTCGGACCCAGACGTTTTAAACTTTAACTTTCTCTTACCACTGAACAGTTCTGTCAAGAAGTGGGAAATGTTCAGAGATGAATAACAATCGTCCAGAGCTAATCCTCCGATGCGCTTTCCACCTATTAGAGGCAACTGTTTAATGGTTTGTATAAAAGCTAGAGCGGTGACGATAGCCTGGTCGTCGTCTCTGTAACCCCCACAGCCAAAGTCACCTTGGGACTCCCGTATAGAGAACAGTCCCAATATTATAATATCACCATCCACGTAACCGAACTCTACTTCCTCTTCCTGAACACAAGGGCCACACTCGTCTTTGCATATTGAAAACATGTTATTTGCGACATGAAAATTTGGGCTCAAATATCCGATCTGAAAATATGTAACAACAGTTATTAATATACAGCTAGATATTTGAATGTTTAAAAAAGTACTTATGAAATGTGACAAAAAACGTGTATATTTTCGTACTTTAGTGCATATTCTAAAACTCAGAGACTGTAACATATTTAATATAGCTTAAACTGTATATCACTGAGACCAACTAGTTAATTTACTCAAGTTATTGAATATTGAATAAATGCAAATGATTATAGATAATTTATTTTGATATAGATTATTATTTTAAGTTTTTGAATTACTCTCACACAGCAAATACCGGTCTACAATTACACAATCACACTTCTTACCAAAAGTGTTAATAAAATCGCTATTCGATATATATAACTAAAGTATGATTTAGACGGCGACCATTGGAAAAACACAATTAAAAGAAGACCAGATGTTCCAGAAGGGTTAGCGTCTTCGCTTCATCGACGACGAGCATAATCAGATTACCCTTATGTCACACACAGGAATAACCTATTTCCCCATGAGATCATGATGGCGACAATAAACGCTATGCATTAATTTGTCTCTTAGGAAACTTGTCGTAAATATGTCAGGAAGCAGTCAACATATATCCTTAACCGTTACACAATTACACTGATCAAACCTCACATTTTCACACTGAGCTTACCTTATCAAATACCACCCTGGTAGTGCTGCTATTGTATTTGAAGAAATTAACCATTTCTGTTCCGTCTATATGGAAGTGCCGATCCATGATCATGATAGAAGTATTCAAGGATGACAGTTCTTGTGGTAAGTGTGTAAAACTGGAATGAAGAGGTATGGAAGTAGATTTTAATTTGTCCATGACCAGAAGATGTAATTTTTTATCCTGAAGTGCTAGACACACGCCACTCTCATTTCCACAATGTTCATAATGCACACGTTTAATAGCGGACGCTAGTGCCATCACGGCGATCACGGCGCTGACTGAGTTGATGTCCTGTCGGAAGCCTTGCTCCACAGTGAGCCGGTTACAGTTGTGCCCACAGTCAGGGTACACTTTGGCCATATACTTGTCCAACCAAGGGGAATAACTGCCGTCGGGATCTGCACTAAGTAATCTATCAATAAAGTAGTTTTTAAATGTACTCAAGTTGACAACATCGTGCGGCGATACCGTTAACATAAATATATCTAATTTATCCGCCGATTTCTCAATCATTGATATAATATCCGAGTCTGTTTTGATGTCGGCTAACATGATCCACTGTAGACTCCTAGCCTGTGTGCTCTTCTCGTCTATAATACTCTGTATGATGTGTCTGACCGCGACAGTCCCTCCAACATAAACCACTCCCATCTGTTCTAGGAGAGTATGACTCTGTTGATTTTCGAGATAGTTTATGAGTTTTTTTACCTCCGTTTTCACTATGTTTACATCTTTTGTGTATTTTATAGATATTTCCTTTATCCCTCCTACACACACTTTAGTTTCTTTCCGTTGTAATTCAAACTCTTCTAGATATAATTTTCCAATATCTTCATCCGTGTGAACAATGACCACGTAATACCACCTAAGGGTCGCCATCAGCTGGAAGGCCGCCTGTGACAAAACAATTTATTTATTTTTACAAGTTTGTTGTCTGTGTAATATGTAATATGCATGGCGTAACATTACAAGTAAAATAAAATCAGACATTATAAGCGTTAAGACACAGAGAGGGCACTTTAATTTAGAGAGTCGACACGAAAAGACAACGAGAAATCATGAATGGAAGGTCGGGAAACTGATTAAAATATTTCGACGTCGTTTGTACATTATAGTCGAAATGTAAATTTATAATTACCGTAAATGAAACAATAAAACAGGTTTCACATTAAATTTAAACTATAAATGTATGTTTAGCATAAGGCAAAAACAGATCGATCATTTAAAAATGGCATGCATTTAATTTTTATAAACCTATATAAACGAACTGGTAAATAAGAATATACTACGAAGTACTTCATCAAAATTGCAATTGGGACCACAGTTCCACAGACAAAAATAACTCCCCTGAAATATTTTGAACAAAAGACTTGTAATAACGTTATATTGTAAAGCTAAAAATGTGTAAAAGCTCACTATGACTATGTAAAGCGACTTTGTGTGAACAGTTCTTTACATCTACTAACGATGTTTTTATATTAGCTGTTAAAAAGTTGAAAACTAAGCTCGGAGAACATTATGCACAACTTGGATACATATTTATCTACGTCTTAATACCTATTAGTAAAACTCTGTATCAGTTTCTTATCATACTGTTGCCTTATACTTCATCTTTTTGTGTTAATTTGTGTGTAATCACCTCGAACGTTTTTGTCGTAGCTAATATAAACTAAGTGACAGGTGATTTTCATAAGAACATTTTATGCATAGTTTATGGGAAATGCTTGATTGATACGATGGCCATGTTTAATTCATATCTTACCTACTACACCATACCTGTGGGTTTTCTACACTAACACTACGATGTTATACATATCAAAATATGTATGATCAGGTTACATAACCGCCCTTAAGGAGACACAATATGCGCACTCTGACACGTGGATTTTGAGAGTTTATAAAATCAAGGAAGTTATTGACTACTTCTATTTTAACAACCTTATGTATTTGTATTTCTTTTTCTAGCATGAATGGGAGTGGCTTCGTGAGTACAAAGTTCATGACCAATACAACATCTGCTCTAGTTGTTCATGAAATTTATAATCCAACCTTATTTCTAACTGCAAGATCGCATTTTTTTTAAATGTTTGAAAAGTCATTCAGATTTTGGATTTTACTAAGAAAATGTTATAAGTGGGCATTTGGATATTTCTTATTTAACATCCACGTCAACACATGGACAAAATTGATCCGAAAAGACAACGACAACAACAAGGTAGACATCATATGCTCTATAAGGTAAAATAGGTAACCTAGGTAAATTGTAGATAACCATCGGGCTCCCATCCTGATGTATCCCTTCAACCTTACCCCTATATCGACAAAATTGATCCGAAATAGACAACACATTTATATTTTTAATACAAGGAGAATACTACTCTTTAAGTGCATGTTTTTACTTGTTAAATAGGAATATACTTTTTTATACTGCTCTTTAATAAAAGTTTGTAAACAATCCTCGATCAAAATCTACACGTGACATAAAATATATCATGTAATGTAGATCGTGTCACAACTATAAAAATTCAGAATGAGAAGACGAAGCTGTTTTTTAAGGCTTTGTTTCACTAATATAATAGATCATTTAGAGATCCACTTTTACTAATTTAATAGATGAGTTACAAATTCAGGTCAACTCAATTACATATATGCACGCGCATTTCAAACTAAGGAAAACAAGAATGGGTTTCTATAAACGTAGATTTATATCGTCACATTAATCACTCACAGAGGAATGCTACATAACGACAGGCTAGAGGTTGATATTGCATGTTAACTAGTTCTCTACTCAGTCACTGACTTGGGGGGTTGATAGTGCATGTTAACTAGTTCTCTATTCCGTCACTGACTAGGGGTAAATAGTGCATGTTAATTAATTCTCTACTCAGTCACAGACTTGGGGGGTTGATATTGCATGTTAACTAGTTCTCTACTCAGTCACTGACTTGGGGGGGTTGATATTGCATGTAACCAAGTTCTCTATAAGTCACTGACTGGGGGTAAATAGTGCATGTTAACTAATTCTCTACTCCGTCACTGACTGGGGTTGATATTGTTAACTAGTTCTCTACTCAGTCACTGGCTGGGGTACCTAGTGTTATGTAGTTCTCTACTGAGTCACTGACTGGGGGTACCTAGTGTTATGTAGTTCTCTACTGAGTCACTGACTGGGGGTTAATAGTGCATGTAACCAAGTTCTCTATAAGTCACTGACTGAGGTTGATATTGTTAACTAGTTCTCTACTCAGTCACTGACTGAGGGTTGATAGTGCGTGCTAACTAGTTCTCTACTCCGTCACTGACTTGGGTTGATATTGTTAACTAGTTCTCTACTCAGTCACTAACTGAGGGTTGATAGTGCATGCTAACTAGTTCTCTACTCCGTCACTGACTGGGGGTTGATAGTGTTATCAGTTCTCTACTCCGTCACTGACTGGGGATTGATAGTGTTATCTAGTTCTCTACTGAGTCACTGACTGGGGATTGATAGTGTTATCTAGTTCTCTACTGAGTCACTGACTGGGGATTGATAGTGTTATCTAGTTCTCTACTGAGTCACTGACTGGGGATTGATAGTGTTATCTAGTTCTCTACTGAGTCACTGACTGGGGATTGATAGTGTTATCTAGTTCTCTACTGAGTCACTGACTGGGGATTGATAGTGTTATCTAGTTCTCTACTGAGTCACTGACTGGGGATTGATAGTGTTATCTAGTTCTCTACTCAGTCACTGACTGGGGGTTGATAGTGTTAACTAGTTCACTACTCAATATCAAATCCACTATTGAAAGTCAGTCCTGACAATGAATACATGTACCACTATTTTTTGAGATATCGCCAATCAGACACAAAATATTTAATGCTGAACTATCCCATCCATGATACTAGTGGGTTACGCTTGCTTACGCTCTCTGCACCCCTGGAATATGTCTGGACAAAATCGAAGCTTCGTACCCTACATCGTGTTGATGATAAAGTTCCAATAGTTTCTTTTTTGATGTACACCAAAACAACTGCGCTGCAGCGTAACGGTGATCTTGACTGACTTTGAAGCTGGTTGTGTTGTAGCTCCTCTGTAATCGTCAAAGGTCAGATATCAGCCCAGCGATTGGTCAGGATGTTTTAACCTATGAAAGAGCTAGTCGTGTGCCTTCAATTTTGCCATGACATATTCAAGGGGTTGAGAGCGTAAGTGAGCGTAACCGAGGAGTATCGAGGATGGAACTATGTTCTATTTATAGATTTTCACGCTGTATGTTCAAATACTACTGAAAGGATCGGTTTTTACTACTACAAACTACAATTGAAGGTATTTGTTATCAATTATTTGCCTGCTTCTACGCTAGAAGTGACATAGTCTCTTTGTTACTCAGTTTAATTGATCCATTGCGACCTATATAATTTAACAGAAGACAAAATGGCAGAAAACGCGCACCCTGAGGATCTGCTCCACTATTTTTGGGGGTTCATAATGTCTTTACTTTAGTTTTGGTGTCTCCTCAGCTCCTGTTGTTTAATTTCTTATCGACATTTGAGTTTAGATTTGCCTTCCTAGTTTGACGCGTATTTGTTATTTTTTACGTGTGCTTCTGTTATAGAAAGCGACTTTGCATATTATCGAATACAAATGTTTTGTTTGCAAAGCAAGTTATTTCTCTTCACTTCCTTGTCTGAGTCATATATGATCATTTTTACATTTTACTATAAAGTGGCTTTTTTCATTCCCTCTTACATATGCATCTTACATTTGAATATGACATACATTTTATATTTGCATATGAAGAAAAGCGTGTTACTACAGTACTGTGTATCATTGCTGTATCACGGGTTATTTAGAACGTGAACGATATATCTGACCGACTTTCACAGTTTATAAGTCATCATTTTACTACCCGTACCGATCCGTGCAACGAAAATGTAAAACACGTATTCAAAAATGGTATTTAAAAATAATCTTCCATCAACGACTCGTTAAAATAAGTGCAGAATTCTAAAGTGATAACATACGGGGGGAATATATCTTGCCTAGTTGTATTTTCGTTACAAAGTTACAAAATGGATAATGTATGGACAAGTTACGTATTAATACTTTTTCGAGAGAAATAACGCCAAAAACTCATTGCATTTAAAAAATACAATAAGTCTGGACTAGTTGTGTTTAAGTAGTATACAAGGGAGACCATCTGGACTAGTTATACTAACTAACAGTATTTTAGAAGCGTATTAATGATACAGCGTCTGAACAAGTAGTTTTTAGTAGTTGATCGAGGGGAACTGACAACTGAACAAGTAGTTTTTAGTAGTTGATCGAGGGGAACTGACAACTGAACAAGTAGTTTTTAGAAGTTGATCGAGGGGAACTGACAACTGAACAAGTAGTTTGTAGTAGTTGATCGAGGGGAACTGACAAATGAACAAGTAGTTTTTAGAAGTTTATCGAGGGGAACTGACAACTGAACAAGTAGACTTTAGTAGTTGATCGAGGGGAACTGACAACTTAACAAGTAGTTTTAAGTAGTTGATCGAGGGGAACTGACAAATGAACAAGTAGTTTTTAGAAGTTTATCGAGGGGAACTGACAACTGAACAAGTAGACTTTAGTAGTTGATCGAGGGGAACTGCCAACTGACCATGTATTTTTTAGTAGTTGATCGAGGGGAACTGACAACTGAACGAGTAGTTTTTAGTAGTCGATCGAGGGGAACTGACAACTGAACGAGTAGTTTGTAGTAGTTGATCGAGGGGAACTGACAAATGAACAAGTAGTTTTTAGAAGTTTATCGAATTGATAGTGTTATCTAGTTCTCTACTGAGTCACTGACTGGGGATTGATAGTGTTATCTAGTTCTCTACTCAGTCACTGACTGAGGTTTGATAGTGCATGCTAACTAGTTCTCTACTCCGTCACTGACTGGGGTTTATATTGTTAACTAGTTCTCTACTCAGTCACTGACTGAGGTTTGATAGTGCATGCTAACTAGTTCTCTACTCCGTCACTGACTGGGGGTTGATAGTGTTATCAGTTCTCTACTCCGTCACTGACTGGGGTTTATATTGTTAACTAGTTCTCTACTCAGTCACTGACTGAGGTTTGATAGTGCATGCTAACTAGTTCTCTACTCCGTCACTGACTGGGGGTTGATAGTGTTATCAGTTCTCTACTCCGTCACTGACTGGGGGTTGATAGTGTTATCAGTTCTCTACTCCGTCACTGACTGGGGTTTATATTGTTAACTAGTTCTCTACTCAGTCACTGACTGAGGTTTGATAGTGCATGCTAACTAGTTCTCTACTCCGTCACTGACTGGGGGTGATATTGTTAACTAGTTCTCTACTCAGTCACTGACTGAGGTTTGATAGTGCATGCTAACTAGTTCTCTACTCCGTCACTGACTGGGGTTTATATTGTTAACTAGTTCTCTACTCAGTCACTGACTGAGGTTTGATAGTGCATGCTAACTAGTTCTCTACTCCGTCACTGACTGGGGGTTGATAGTGTTATCAGTTCTCTACTCCGTCACTGACTGGGGGTGATATTGTTAACTAGTTCTCTACTCAGTCACTGACTTGGGGGGTTGATAGTGCATGTTAACTAGTTCTCTATTCCGTCACTGACTAGGGGTAAATAGTGCATGTTAATTAATTCTCTACTCAGTCAGGGGAACTGACAACTGAACGAGTAGTTTTTAGTAGTCGATCGAGGGGAACTGACAACTGAACGAGTAGTTTGTAGTAGTTGATCGAGGGGAACTGACGTTGATCGAGGGGAACTGACAACTGAAAAAGTAGTTTTTAGTAGTTGATCGAGGGACCAAGTAGGTTTTAGTAGTTGATCGAGGGAAACTGACAACTTAACAAGTAGTTTTAAGTAGTTGATCGAGGGGAACTGACACCTGAACAAGTAGTTTTTAGTAGTTGATCTAGGGGAACTGACAACTGAACAAGTAGACTTTAGTAGTTGATCGAGGGGAACTGACGTTGATCGAGGGGAACTGACAACTGAACGAGTAGTTTGTAGTAGTTGATCGAGGGGAACTGACAAATGAACAAGTAGTTTTTAGAAGTTGATCGAGGAGAACTGACAACTGACCAAGTAGTTTTTAGTAGTTGATCGAGAGGAACTGACATCTGAACAAGTAGGTTTTAGTAGTTGATCGAGGGAAACTGACAACTGAACAAGTAGTTTGTAGTAGTTGATCGAGGGGAACTGACAAATGAACAAGTAGTTTTTAGTAGTTGATCAAGGGGAACCGACAACTGAACAAGTTGTTTCTAAAGTTGATCGAGGGGAACTGACAACCAAGAAGTTTTTAGTAGTTGATCGAGGGGAAGTGACAACTGGACAAGGCGTTTTTAGTAGTTGATCGAGGGGAACCGACAACTGAACAAGTTGTTTCTAAAGTTGATCGAGGGGAACTGACAACTTAACAAGTAGATTTTAGTAGTTGATCGAGGGGAACTGACAACTTAACAAGTAATTTTTAGAAGTTGATCGAGGGGAACTGACAACCGAACAAGTAGTTTGTAGTAGTTGATCGAGGGGAACTGACACCTGAACAAGTAGTTTTTAGAAGTTGATCGAGGAGAACTGACAACTGACCAAGTAGTTTTTAGTAGTTGATCTAGGGGAACTGACAACTGAACAAGTAGACTTTAGTAGTTGATCGAGGGGAACTGCCAACTGAACAAGTAGTTTTTAGTAGTTGATCGAGAGGAACTGACATCTGAACAAGTAGTTTTTAGTAGTTGATCGAGGGGAACCGACAACTGAACAAGTTGTTTTTAAAGTTGATCGAGGGGAACTGACAACTGAACAAGTAGTTTTTAGAAGTTGATCGAGGGGAACTGACAACTGACCAAGTAGGTTTTAGTAGTTGATCGAGGGGAACTGACAATTTAACAAGTAGTTTTTAGTAGTTGATCGAGAGGAACTGACAACTGAACAAGTAGTTTTTAGTAGTTGATCGAGGGGAACTGACAACTGACCAAGTAGGTTTTAGAAGTTGATCGAGGGGAACTGACAACTGACCAAGAAGGTTTTAGTAGTTGATCGAGGGGAACTGACAATTTAACAAGTAGTTTTTAGTAGTTGATCGAGAGGAACTGACATCTGAACAAGTAGTTTTTAGTAGTTGATCGAGGGGAACCGACAACTGAACAAGTTGTTTTTAAAGTTGATCGAGGGGAACTGACAACCAAGAAGTTTTTAGTAGTTGATCGAGGGGAACTGACAATTTAACAAGTAGTTTTTAGTAGTTGATCGAGAGGAACTGACAGTTGATCGAGGGGAACTGACAACTGAACAAGTAGATTTAAGTAGTTGATCGAGGGGAACTGACAACTGAACAAGTAGATTTTAGAAGTTGATGGAGGGGAACTGACAACTGACCAAGTAGTTTTTTAGAAGTTGATCGAGGGGAACTGACAACTGAACAAGTAGTTTTTGGAAGTTGATCGAGGGGAACTGACAAATGAACAAGTAGTTTTTAGAAGTTGATCGTGGGGAACTGACAACTGACCAAGTAGGTTTTAGTAGTTGATCGCGGGGAACTGACAACTGAACAAGTAGATTTTAGAAGTTGATCGAGGGGAACTGACATCTGAACAAGTAGTTTTTAGAAGTTGATCGAGGGGAACTGACATCTGAACAAGTAGTTTTTAGAAGTTGATGGAGGGGAACTGACAACTGACAAAGTAGTTTTTTAGAAGTTGATCGAGGGGAACTGACATCTGAACAAGTAGTTTTTAGAAGTTGATCGAGGGGACCTGACAACTGACCAAGTAGTTTTTAGTAGTTGATCGAGTGGAACTGACAACTGAACAAGTAGATTTTAGTAGTTGATGGAGGGGAACTGAACTGACAACTGACCAAGTAGTTTTTTAGAAGTTGATGGCGGGGAACTGACAACTGAACAAGTAGACTTTAGTAGTTGATCGAGGGGAACTGACAACTGACCAAGTAGTTTTTTAGAAGTTGATCGAGGTGAACTGACAACTGAACAAGTAGTTTTTAGTAGTGGATCGAGGGGAACTGACAACTGAACAAGAAGATTTTAGTAGTTGATGGAGAGGAACTGACAACTGAACAAGTAGATTTAGGTAGTTGATCGAGGGGAACTGACAACTGAACAAGTAGATTTAAGTAATTGATCGAGGGGAACTGACAACTGAACAAGTAGTTTTTAGTAGTTGATCGAGAGGAACTGACAACTGAACAAGTAGATTTTAGTACTTGATCGAGGGGAACTGACAACTGAACAATGTTAGTACTCAAATATAGATATACAGTTTTTGGTTAAATCAATGTTTCATGAATTTGACTGGGATAGGTAGGCGATTTAAGTGAATCGGGTGGAACTGACTTTCATTGTTTAAATTCTTTAGCTATCGAATTGATGGAATAGTCTGTCTTTGTCTATTTTTACATCAGACATTCTTTAACTGTGAAATAAGTGGTGTTTATTGGTGTCAATAACCCTTCGTAACTATGGTGATTGTATTACATTACACGGGAACCATTGAGTACAGTACTACCCATACCTTTACTTCTTCTTTAAAGGATGGAACAGTAAACAGGATATTGTCTTTCAATTCCAAGGTCGGAGATCGCGCATGCCCGCTGATAAATGGGGTGTCTGGTTCTACGACATCCGCTAAGGCCATGGAAGCTTCAACGGTCGTCATAGCTATGATTCCTTAACGGATGAAAGTGTTAATTAGCATTCAAGAAAAATTACTTTTCGAAGTCAATTTCTCATTATTGTCACTTGTAATATACTCTGATTATTGTAACATCATCCAACCTTCAATACAAAACAAATATGTGGAAACAAATATGTGGAAACAAATATACAAATATGTGGAAACAAATATGAATGTCATGCGAAATGATTAAAACAAGCTTTATTTACTGATTTTACAAATAAGTATTTAATATCATGTCATATAAGCATAAACGCATACATTGAATAGTGTATCGCTTGATGCCAACACAAGCAAATCATGAATAAAACGCAGACAATATATATATTATTTTATATTAACACAAGCAAAGCATCATTACAATGTGTACATTATGTTGTATAGACACACACATGTCATTGATACAATATATATATTATTTGATATTAACATAAACAAAACAACAATATAATGTGTATAATACATACATAATGTATATGCTCACAAAGAGTTACATGTATATTTTGTATTGAACAAATATTGATTTCAATGATGTTTCATTAACACATGCAATTAGTTGATCAATGAATATTTAAAGGAAGACGAGTCGAAGCAGACAATAAGGGAGTCAGCACAAAACAATAATGTTCAAATAGCGTCGAGAAGTAGAATTGAAGGCGGAAGTTCACCTCAGAAGGACTTTCTGGTCGTGTGCCCTACCTGTAAATGTTGATTTGCTAGCCGTGTCGTCACAGGACAGGAGATCAGCTGGTTTCCCGCCGGGAAGTACATCCAATATAGCGTCGGTTGCCATGGATGGCAGTCCACAGTCATCATAGATGTCGAACCCTGAAATAACATAATGGTATATAGCTGTTTGACAATGGAGAATGAAATATGCCTTTGGTTTATCTTGTACATTTCAATAATATGTGTAATATTTTTAGAGATATGACAATGTCTCGAGCTAATGATGATTAAAACGATCAGCAAAGACGTAACAGTAGTCCAAATTTCTTTCAAATGTCAGCCCTTTTTAGACAGCATATCTTAATATGATAAATGATTAAATACTTACAAGGACGTTGACCTAACATAAATACAAACAAAACATTCCATAAAGTTATGTTTTACGCAAAGCACGAACACAACTATGAAAACGTTTTTTCTTGTTATCTCATAAAAATTTGTAATCGTCTAACCAACATTACATCACTATGATGTAGAGGTATAACAGTTGATTGATATGCAATAAAAAGGCATCTATTAATATAAAAAAAACACTGCAGTATTTAAATGTGGAACAGAACTAAGTTTGTGTTGTGTACGGGAGTCAGTTGACATATTACAGCTAGATAATTAGCTATACGTCTCCTGTGTGTAATGTGACACTGACGGAATACATAGTTACTCATCCTCAACATACAGCGTACAATATCACTACAAATTGATGTTTAAAACCAAAAACGGTTCAAAAGTACACCAACTCCTAGACTTATCATAAAAGGATCTTCAACGTTAAAAACCCAATAGGTTAAAAAAAATCATTCAGTTCCAGACTACTAAACAAAAACGTCAATGCTAGAATTCGAAAAGGAAAATACATACATCCACTCCTATACTTTTTACCAAAGATCTTCAATATTTAAAAAACACCAAAAAACCCCCGAAAAAGGTAAAAAAAACCATACACCCAGTCCTAGACTTTTCACCAAAGGATATTCAATATTAAAAAAAGGAAAGGTAAAGGACAACCACCCACTCCTAGACTTTTCATCAAAGGGTCTTTAATGTTAAAACTAAACAGATAAAAAAAAACATACACCATTCCTAGACTTTTCACCAAAAGTTTAAAACTGATAAAAAACAAACACTAACTCCGAGACTTTTCGCCAAAAGGACCTAAGGATACGGGCTTACTTTATACGCTAATAAAATCGTCTTTGCAAAAACATCCGTGTTGAGAAGAGCTAAAGATCATTGATACAGATTACTTCAGTGCATTTACTTGTTTGTATTCGTTGATTAAAACATAAAATGTAAAATGTGAAATATTTCAACTATCTAGGTGAACTTTTTCTTGTCATATTAAATTTCCATATTGGAAGTATTTAGGTCACTTTTCTTCACCACATACCCATGCTTATGACATTCAAGGTGACCTCCACGTAGGGGACATATCTTACTACGTCATACGCGGACGGTCATCAGATCATTTATATCACTAGTGTAGGAAATAGGAAAATAGTATCCCGATGTTCTGTGATAGAAGTCACTGTATCGTTATGGTCATAGAATACATTTGTTTTATATAGTTGGTGAAGTGATCGTACCTATGTAGATAATTTAGTTACAAACATCTGGTAGGCTTTGATTAATATTAAGGAAGAGGTAACCGTTGATTTTACTATGACAAACGGTTGCAATACAACATCAAATAGGCGTCAAATACGCCGATTTATATATAATTTATTATTTTATATCTTATAATAGGAAAACATGTGTAGCAGTCCAGGAAGTTGTTACTGGGTACAATGGGAATAACAGATTTGATTTTACCTAATTTACACTCTTTATTTAACCTCGTCAGTTGACTCTGTAGTTGTTACATATAATGTACTTGGTTGTCGAAATACATATATTATGATGCTAGACTGAATAACAAGAAAACCGCCGAAACCGAGCAGTAAACCGCCCCTCCCCCTTAAATGATTATTTACTTATAGTTAAATGTGACATAATTTTACATTATGATGAGTGGAACCTGTCTGTAAGCCGAACAAGTAAACATTTACAACATCATATGTCAATGGCGTCAACATAGAAATAAACAGTGGTATTAAAGGTAAAAAAGCACCAAAACACCATGTCTTAAATGTTCCAGGTATATGTAGAATATAACAAAAAAGGAACAGGTGCCCGTCAAACCTGTTATAAATATTCAAGTTTTGGCTCCGATGGAAAAATTTAGGGGCATGGGGGTTTCCAAAATGGTCCCTCCTCTGATTTCAATTTTCCTTTGGTGAAGTGTAAACCTAAACCTTATCACAACAAAAACACCCATTAAAAGTCAAATGAGTACTTGGTTCGTTTTTCTTGGAAGCATAAAAATTAAATTCTCAAACAGTTTTCCCAAAAGACGAATGTTGTCAAACTTTCAATGCATTGAATGATCATTTATGATGCGACTAGGGATCATATGCTACAGTAAACATGTAAAAATTCCTTGCTTTGCTTTGGTTAGTTATCAGATATTTATAGACAAATCAACAGCCAGAACCATCTCAAGCAATGATATTTTCCAGACAAAAAATGTGTTCATTTTAGAATAAAAGCATCTTATAACTTTTGTATACCAAAACTATTTTGATTATAGAAGGACTAGGTCATGAACTATCAGTGACAAAAATATCAATCCGAAACAAGTGGTGGAACATATTCAAAGAAGGGTTCAAATGACCATATGATATGTACATCAGAATTCATGGCTATATGTATAGTCTAATTATGATGACAGAAAACTGACAGAAAAGAAGAAAATATTTGTTCCAGTTTAGATTGAATGAATATTTAATCAACAGAGAAGATGTTTTGAAAAGATGCGCTGTTTATTTCCTTTAAAGATGACCACCAAAACATAATTTTACTGCACAATCAGTTGTCAGATTCCCAGACAACATTCTTGCGATATCAACGGAATTCAGAGATTGTGTGTTGTTTGTTCCTTTGCTTTTTATATATATTTTAAAGTTAGGCGCCCTTTTAACAGCTGATGGCATTTACAGATAATGTTTTGTAATATGCAAGATTATGAAATGTGTTCGAATGGCAGATTGGAAAAAAGAAGGGAGAGAAAAATATTGCGAGGTTTTTGAATTTGTTTTCAAACTGGTAATTCTAGATTCACCAGAAAGCAACTTATTTCAAACTTTTTCGGATCTTCTTAGCCCTTGAGTGCAACTGTTCTAAATTTTGAAGATTGCTACAATGTATGATAGCCATGATAAATAATCTTTCCCTTTGCCGTAGTTGATAATAATACCTATGAAAATTGGCGAACGTTTTATTTAAAGGGAAAAAAGACAAGTTGAAAGAAATGGAAAGGCACAAGTGCCTGTAAACTCTTTATAACCATGATTTGTTCTCTAATAACAAAAATGAACTTGATATTGCTATTTGTTCTCAATTTATCCTATAGTTAACAAAATGTACCACAAACTCTCCTTCATACCCTGACAATAACAGAAATATCCATGTATATCCGGCAGTTAGTCCATAACCAGGAAATGTTTGATCATCATCGCGAGCTGAGTTCAGTCTGTGGTATCTCAGTAGTTAAGTATTGCCATTAATACAGGTATTTCAACCTGCGTGTCAGAGTGTTACATGAAAAGGTCTGTCCTGGCTAAAATGTATATATAACTAATGCAATAATATGTAAATAATGCAGACGAGAACGCAGGCCGTGTTATTTGATATGTGTAGATGTATTTAAATAAGCATCAATTAAATAATCAAAAAGGCTATGGTTAAAAACGCTTTATATAGCCAGGAATAGTACACACTGTCTGATCGTCAACAAGATAAGAAGAATGAACATACATGCATATGTATTCACACACTGTCTGATCGTCAACAAGATAAGAAGAATGAACATACATGCATATGTATTCACACACTGTCTGATCGTCAACAAGATAAGAAGAATGAACATACATGCATATGTATTCACACACTGTCTGATCGTCAACAAGATAAGAAGAATGAACATACATGCATATGTATTCACACACTGTCTGATCGTCAACAAGATAAGAAGAATGAACATACATGCATATGTATTCACACACTGTCTGATCGTCAACAAGATAAGAAGAATGAACATACATGCATATGTATTCACACACTGTCTGATCGTCAACAAGATAAGAAGAATGAACATACATGCATATGTATTCACACACTGGCTTTTCGTCGTACAAGGCTTTATACAGTTTACCACGGTATAAGAAAATACTTGTCATGAGTCAGAAAATGGGTGTTTCTTCGTACAAGCAATTACATTTAACCTGTACATATCCCTATATTTCGTGTAAAGCTGGCTCCGAACATATTCACTTTTATGATATAAACACAAATGTCATGAATGCCACATCGTCCTTGTCTAACGCTTCAGCGTAAATGAATCTGTTGACCCATCAACTTCTGTGACGAAATATAGTTTGTGGAAAATTTCCTCGCTTCCGGGACTGTAAACTGTAAATTGATCAAAAAGGTAATAAAATGTCTCTATATGTTTTAGAAACTTAAATTTATGCATCATGGCAGATTCACCCAATAAATCATTTTTATCGTTATTATGTAAAAGGGTACATTTCTGAAAATGTATTTTGCTCTTGTGTGTTAACCCTGTGGAAGCAAGATGATATAGAGTTGCATTATAAAGTTTGACAAAAGGCACAGAAATATGATCACCGATATAGAAGACACGAAAGTTGTCAGAATACTGTCAACAGTGATTATAACAAAGGCTAAACAAATCTCCATGAACGTTATATCATATAAACCGATGATTATGATAAAAACAGAGAAAACTTTAAATGAATGTTAGACTCAAGAAGAAATAGTTATAATACTAGTATTACAATAATAACAGTTCAAGCAATGTTTATGGTAAAGGATATAGCAGGAACTAATTTGCCATTAGAGGAATAGACCCGAAATACTTCCTTATCTGGAAATTGATTATCACAATGGGGTGGTTTACATGTAAGTGACGAGTTCCTATTTATCTACACATATCGGCATTACTTCCTTGTAGTTAGAATTTAATCTCATATGGCTTGCAT